CCCCAAAACCCCAAAACCCCAAAACCCCAAAACCCCACCTTTGTAAAAGCTATCATGACTATTGAAATAATATAAAAATTAACTGTTGCAATTTATATAATAATAAAATAATGAGAAGTAGCATCAGAATCAAATTTCAGAGTGAGGCAGAATTTGATAGGTTACCTTTTCATTCATAAGTTGTCTCCTATGATGAGATTAAGAAGTACTTGGAAAGAAAGAAAAAGCTAGGTAAGTCATTTTATTCTATCATCTTAATAATCGATTGCCTTTACATATTTAAAGCATTTCCAATTAAAAATCTATAGTATTTGCTGACAAAAAGACTGATAAGATCGTCTTAATGGATGTAAATAGAAATAAGGAATTTAATGAGGGCTTCATTGAGCCAGACACTAGATTGATAGTGATGAGAACTCCATTGGTAACAGGGGATCCGATTGAACTCACCTACAATCCTAAGTAAACTGGAGGTACTTTCGATAAGCATGGAGGTAAAGTAAGACTCGAAACTAAAGATGGTTAACTGGGTGACACGAATGAAGTAAATATCGAGGAAAATAAAAATGACGAGAAAAGCATTGAGCAAGATACCAAGTCTGAAATTGAAAACTAATCTAATACAATTAAAGTTAGCACTCAAAAGCTAGAGTAATATTATCAATTTGTAAATACTTTAATAGCTTATCTTCCCTTGGCAAAGAATTCACTTGTCCTCTGCCAAATCCTCATGAAAAGAAAACTCACCTCATCATTGATCCTGTTATTTTATCTTGCTGCGGAACAACATGCTGCTTAGAATGTAACATATTGAAGGATTGTTTAATATTCATTTAGGCATTGTAAAGATATTTATGAACATTGAGAGATGCCCGTTTTGTTACACTAAACTTAAGTAATCTGGAGTTAAGATATTTCCCAATCTACCAATCCAAAGATTATTCAATCAAGAATTGATCAAGGTTTACCAGCAGCTAAACCCTGAAGAGAAAGAAAGACTGCAGAAGATTTAAGCTTATCAAAGACTTTAGGAGGAAATAGTCAAAATGCCAAGAAATATTAAGAATCCTGATGCTCAAATGAATGAGCCAAACCCAGTAGGGCCTGGAGATGATAACACTGAATTAGATCCCATTATAATGAATGAGCAAAAGGATCCAGCTCAGAGGAAGAATCCTCTTTTTGAGATGATGCAAAATGCAATGTTCATATTGATGAAAGCTCCAAACCAAGAATTTTTATAAAAAGGAGTGCTTATGAGTGAATGGTGCTTCTAAGAAAAGTCAGTCAAAAGAATCAAGGAAACGCAAGTCCAAAATATCTTATGTTTTGTATCAGTCAAAGATTCTGGATCGTTTTAAGGTGTATTCATGATTTAAAGCAAAGATGTGAGGCCTGTATCAGAAGATTGGATTAAGATATACCCTGGCTAGTATGATGGCTAGCTTGATATTTAGTGGTTGTCATTCCCGGATTTGTCCTTTACTAAGACTTAGAAATTGACTAACTAATAAAGAGATAATGAACCTCTCAATAAGTTTAAAGATGGTGAAGAGGTCAATCATGAATTAGGGTAATAGCTTTGTAAATTATGTGTGGACTCTGAAAAGGCTTAGAGTGCCTCGAATGCTTCAAAGATGAAAGCAGAATACATCAAGAATCACAGATATTCTAAAGAATTGAAAAAGCAAAGAGAATTAAATCTTTAGTATAAGAGTTAGCATGTAGTTGTATTATCCTAGGAGGAACAGGAAATATTAGAGAAGATAAAGCCTCTGTCACAAACTGATAAAGAGAAAGCAAATAGAGAAATTAAATCTGAAGATCTTAATATTATGGTATATGAGGATATTGCGAGTCCAACATTTTTCTCGAAGGACAAAGATGACAGAAGGACGAGAGACAGGAGAACTGAAAGAGAGTCAGAAAAGAAAGATGATAAAAAGTCAAAGAGAGATGAGGAAAAAGATAAGAAACCCTCTGCAACAATAACTGTACCAATCGCTTAGGCAATACCAACTATTCCAACTGGAGGGATGTTTAGACCTCCTTATGGATACTATTAGCAATATTATCCTGTTGCACCAAATATGATGTAACCTATGTATGGATATCCAAATCCAATGATGGGCAGGCCAGGAATGATGCATATGCCCCCTTCAGGGATGCCAATGGGTATGCAGCCAGCAATTATTGCTCCTCAGCCAGAGATCACTAGAAGAACTGAAGATAATAAAAGAAGATCAAGGTCAAGGAATGATAGAGAAAGAGAAAAGGAGAGAGAACGGGAAAGTTATAGAGAGCGTGAGAGAGACAGGGATAGAAAGAAACACTCTAGAAGAAGCAGGTCACCGCATTCAAAGAAAAGGGAAAAGAGTAGAAGTCCCAGAAGTAAGCACCACAGAAGATGATTAATTAATGTTTTAATTTCAGAAAGAATTACCATCCAATGATATTATTTTACTTATTGGGGTTTTGGGGTTTTGGGG